CACCCCAAATGGACGACCGTTTCTGACGCTCGTATTTATTCATTTGTAAGCAAATTGTTATGCGAAGGGATTGGTATGAAGCGGCCGTGATGCTGCATGCATATATGGGTACACATATGCAGCCGTATCTTCGTAGCGGTGATTGGCAAGATGCCTACGGGAAACTCGTCCGAAATCGATTTTCAAGTCACTGAGAACGGAGGCTTTTTCTTCGCCGGATTTTGACCGTTTCACTCCGTTCTTTCGCCATTTCCCCACTACATAGCGCCCTACTAGCATTTTAGGCCGAGTGGGAAACCATCGTGCCAACTGCCTTTAGATTACAGGGGGTATTTCCACAATCCTAACATCGTCCTGCAGATCACACCGAACCAATAACGATCGGACTGCCCTGCTTAGGTCTTCGGAAATGAACGGTAAGCAGAAAGGAACTTTGTTAGGTGTTGTTGTATTGAGAGTTCTCCGACTTGTGGAATACCCCCGCTGCGCTGCTCCAGAGCAAGGATATCCATTAGATAACGCAATACCCTGGGCCATATCCCTCGATTCTGTTTTCAGCTGTTGATCTGACGACACCATGTTAGCCACTCTGAACATATTTCTAATGACCGCCTGTTTTGTTTTTATCGGATGGGCGAGGTATAATGGACCAGAATGTTCTTGTTGGTCGGCTTCCGGTACCATTTGGTCCTGACTGACCCCCGTGAAACCTGGACCTGGAATGTTAAGGAAGGGTAGCCAATCCGCCACGGGTTTTTTCCCCGATTGTGATATAATTGATATTTCACTGCAACTTCCGATAATTATTACTTTATACCTGACAATATAAGCGACACTGCTAACATCGAGGAATAGGAAAAGCGTCAAGGCAAAAGCAAAGGCAAAAAGCCCATACATGCAACTTATTCAGCATGTACTGAACAACCAAATTGGCAATTCACTCTGTAGCAAAAACAAAAGCTTTTAATTGAAGGATTACTTGTTCTCCGAAATCAGTTGAATAACAGTTTTCGCATGTTTTCTACTGTGCGCTCACCCTGAAAAGTGAGTCATTACTGTGCGTATGATCATCGGAACAACTTGAATACTTACACTTTTGAACAACTTGTCATCCCAGCTCGGGAAGAGCTTTTTGAATCCAGGTGTCTCCTTTCCTTGATATATTGTTTCTATAGCGGTTTTCTGATGACGGGGTAGTTTACCCATGGCTAAGTATTTCTGAAACAACTTCAACTTGTTTCAGAGAAATGGCTTTGGCTTGCTTCTCGCTTCTTAACGTGCTGTCTTGTTCGCTGGGGGTGCCGGGGCGTGTCAGGTTGTTGCGTCTGCCGCGGAGCCAGCACGTCCTCATCTCCTTTTCCGGGCAAAAGTTATGGGACAATCTAAAACAACCTCAGTCCCGAGTAAATGTCACTATGTATACCTGAAATCCCTGAGATCGGGTAGGCGTGGCTGCATGTTTCAACTTAACCTGAAGGTGTTTATGCTTCTGGTGAGATATTTTCATCTTGACACAATTGTTGTCGTGTCTCTGTCCAACACAGAACAAGATGACAGTTGTCCCAGACTGGAATATTCCACGAGTAACCAATTCCGTGCCATGTTCAAATGCCACGCCTACTCTGGCTCAGGGATAAGAAGTGTAATTGTTGGAGCTTATAAGCAACAACAAAAGTAGAAAATGGCCCGGTGCTGCGCCAAACCTAGCCCCTCTGACCGCCCTCTAGCGTCCACAGGGAACAAACCTGTACTTTCTTATCTTGTTATGTGGGCGAGTAAATGCAAAGTGCATAAGGCATGAAAGGAAGGCCACCTCAGCTGTACTGATGGCATTGACTTTCTCTTCATGGTGAGCGCCGTCTCCAACCCACACGTAAATACGATTAAGTGCATCGAGTATCATGACGTCATCACCGTCGAGACTCTAAAAATGCCAAAAATAATTGCCTATTATGCCTTAGAGATGAAAATATAAAATAACAGATCCGTGCAAGAGACAGGTCGTGTGTCCCACCGCTGAAGTAGATTCACCGTTGTGAGTGCGAGCTTTCCCACCGATGATGCCAAACTTTACCACCAATGGTGCCAGTCTAAGTTCGCAGCAGGTAAAGGGAAAGGCACGCTTCGAAGCACGCCCCCTCGCACGTCCTATCGTTTGCAGGGATTATGACTTTACTACCTCCTGAGTATAATTGGCGATCTCTTCAACGACCATTCCTCCGGATTTATCTGACACTTGGAACAACAGTGGTTTGAACGTTTCTTTTGACTTGGGATTGACCCATTCATCGAACCTGACAAAGAAACTTCTAAAACTTAGCGACGCAAGTCAGCGAATCTCTAGACATTCAGGGATCCAGACAAATTTTCACCACTGGGTAAATGATACCGGCTCAGCGCTCTCTAGCACTCGCGTCACTGAGGTCCATTGCGGAAGGCCCTGAACAGGTTTCTTGTAGGTCCTTTGTGCTGAACCCGTGAAAACCTCTAAACTCACATATGCTTCAATGTACTCCGTTCCAATGTGTAATGCTTGAGCGCGTTCCTCAAGAGTACAGTCTTTGCCGATCCATACAAATATCCCAGCTTGACCAGCGTCAAGTACGAAAGAGTCCTTAAGTACTATTCTGCGCATGAATGAAACGAAGTAGAGCAGAATAAATGGATATTTACACGAGACTTTTTTTCAACAATTATGGCCCCCGCGCTACGATACGGAACAAACAATTCTAGGATATGAGGAAGCAGTGAGGGGAGGGAGAGAGGAAGCTACTATTATGCTGTGAAACAAACTAAAAGGTGACCCATAAGAGCTCAGGGTTAAAACCCATCAATCCCTTTCTGGAGTGCGCCATGCATTCTACTTCCATTCAGATGACATACTGAATGCGTAATCGCCCAGACCATAATGAATTACGGGACCTTGCGGGGTCCTGACCGTACACGTTTTTATTTCCCCAGGCGGTTCTGGTTCTAGTGAACCACCCGAGACTGATGGCTTGACTGTCCCGGGCGAGAGTCGAACCGAGAATCAAGCGCGGGTGAACGAGCACTTGACTCACTACACCATCTCTTCAGCGAAGCCGGACATATTTGTACTTATTGTAGCTCATGTTTGGAATGAAGGAGCATATGATCGGATACAAGTGGGTCATGTGTCGCGGCTATGTAGGCGGGAGTTGTAAGACTGAACTAGCTGTTGAACTAACTAGCACGTACTTAAAGGGGGTGGGGGACAGGGAAGCATTTGTCGCCAATGTCATTGGTGGAAGGGCTGATTGAGATGACGGGATGTCCACTTGCAGCTCTCTCACTGATGACGTTGGCAGTAGCCGCCCGCCTCCAGTGATCGTGCCTACTGCTCCTACTGCTTTGAAGCACCGTCTTTAACCGCTGCGCTGCTACCACTCTACAATAACCAAGGCAGAGAATCGAGCTGCAGCTTTCAAGCCAAATCGTTATGTTAAGCACATGGGACGGGCTACCTGCGAAATGGTTACAACTTACTTTTGAGTTCAACTGGCTACGCTTGACTTGTCCTTGAGCAATCATTGTGACCTTCATGTTACCAGTAACATCCGACACTCTGGATTAGTAGAACGTTGACTGTCTTGACTGAACTCAGGTGGTGCTTACCTCCAGAGACTCAATTTGTTTGATGTCTCCTTCCAGTAATTGTCGTCATCGTGGCCAGCCTCAGTTACGGTGCAGACAGCACGCGTTCCTCCGAAATGAGACCAGAATGCTTCATTGGTGTCCCAATCACGATCTGAATTGCTACGATGATAAATATCGTGTTTCCAATAGAACATTTCCAAAAGGTGATCACGTACTAACCGAGAAGGTGAACTTTGCTGTGACCTTGTCTTTCAACCTCTGCCATATCCTTAGCTAAAACCATTCCCTGAGAACTGCCACTGGTAAAGTTTCAACCCACTAATTAAACGTTTTTCAAGTGACCTTGATTCTCTCTAGACGTCCGCTCTTCTTCGGCATCCAAACGTAGATGTCTCTACCAAGATCCAATATGAAAACGTCGCCAAGGTTCAACGACTCTCGCCTGCATTGAACCTGCAAATGTCGCAATGACTGAAATTTTGGCCAAAACCGGACCAATACTAAACACCGAGTATCAGTAACGATACATGGCCGCCGCCAACTAGAATCCCACGGAGTAAGCGCAGGTGTTATTTTTAGAAGGTGGGGCGACACAATGGTGGCCGAATTACAGGGTTACATAAGAAGCCTCTTACTTGACACGCCTGTACAGAGCCAAACAATAGAGGGACAATAGAGGGCGCTGTGCCAGTTACTGCCTTATCCATGTCATGTTACCGTACACAATATCATATGTTTAGAAGAACAGGCGGTATACAGCACAGGGCACAGCATTAGTTGGGGATTTTGGTCGAGCCCGTACGACCCCCCCCCCCCCTTATACATAAACTTATGAAGTTTCTTCCCCCCCCCCCCGAGGAGGAAGAAACTTCATAAGTTTATGTATAAGTAAGCGCGAAAAATAGAAAAAGTAACAATCCTGAACGAGGCCCCCCTCGCTTTTTGCTCATTTCTATCCTGATTCAGAAAAGAGAATAGAAAAGAAAGGCCATTAGGTTTCACCCACCTTTCCTCGAGTCAAAACAAACTCTGGTACCTGAATCAATTGCAATTAAAAGAAAAAAACAGGAAATTAAGC